AAATTGGCAGAAGAGTCTAGTCTGACAGGAGAAATTTAAGACTGTTCAGGCTTAAACACTGTTCATGGCATTATAAACCAGTGTGTTACTTGGCAATGTGTGTGAACAGTCACAAAAACTTTCAAACCTTTGGCAGAAGAATCCTGTTTCTAGGAACCTACCATAAGGAATCACTATTAGCACTGTTGTTATTAAATCAAAGATCATCATTTTATGATATCATCTAGCCTTTTAATTAGAACATGTAGAAACTGTAGAGCTCCCCCCCAAAAAAAACTGTGCTTGTAATAGAAAGCAAGTTGAAAAACTTATAACCTATATTATAACAATATTACAGAAACAAACAAAAACTGTACATTAAAAAAGACATTGTGGGCCAGTGCTGTGGCACAGAAGGTTTACCCTTTGCCTGCGATGTCGGTATCCCATACAAGCGCCGAATCGAGTCCCTGTTGCTCCACTTCTGATCCAGCTCCCTGTTAATGTGCCTGGCCCAGCCCTGGTTGTTACAGCCATTTGAGGAGCGAAACCAGTGATGGGAGATCTCTCTCTCTCCCTCTCTGTGTCTCCTTCTTTCTCTGTAACTCTGCCTTTCAAATAAATAAATAAATCTTAAAAAAGACTGGCTTGCATAGAACAAAATTCTAATTTGATCTCCATGGAGACATCAAAGCTATTGAAATCAGTCTGTGGATCCATGTGCACATAAGTATCTTCTCAAACAACAAACACTAAAAATACAATTACTATGAGATCACAAAATACCTTGATTTTTTTTTATTTTTGACAGGCAGAGTTAGACAGTGAGAGAGACAGAAAGAAAGGTCTTCTTTCTGTTGGTTCACCCCCCAAATGGCCGCTATTGCTGGCGCACTGAGCCGATCCGAAGCCAGGAGCCAGGTGCTTCTTCCTGGTCTCCCATGCGGGTGCAGGGCCCAAGCACTTGAGCCATCCTCCACTGCACTCCTGGGCCACAGCAGAGAGCTGGACTGGAAGAGGAGCAACCGGAACAGAATCCGGCACCCCAACCAGGACTAGAACCCGGGGTGCCGGTGCCGCAGGTAGAGGATTAACCTAGTGAGCCACGGTGCCAGCCAATATTTTTTTAAAAATAGGATACATGTCCTAAGGTTGAGAACAAGACAGGAATGTCTACTCTCATCACTTCTACTCAACTTATACGAAGGTTCTGGCCATTGAAATAGGCCAGATAAAGAAACAAAAGGCATGGAGATTAAAATGGAAGAAGTCAATCTTTATTTGCTGATGACAAAACTGCTTAGGTAGAAAAACTTAAGGAATCTACATATACTCACTAGAAGGAATAAATAATCTAGTGAGTCTGTAGGACACAAAGTTACCAAACAAAAATCAGTAATGATCATATCTATTAGCAACAAACTAGCAGTGGCAAATTTTACAAATTCTTTTTACAACAGTGTTGAAAAACACAACACACTTAATAAACCCATACAATGGAAACTGTAAAACACTTCTTAGAGAAGTGAAGAAGGCCTAAGTAAATGGCAAGTTATAGTATGTTTATGCTCCACAAGATTCAATAAACACTAATTGTAAATTCACCTAGAGAGTCAATATAATTCTAATTTTAATCCCATAAGGGTTTTTTTAAAAATGGTGACTGACAAGCTGATTCTAAAATTTATGAGAAAATACTAATCACTTGGAATATTTATTTTTTTTTTAAAAAAGATTGATTTTATTTATTTGAAAGGCAGAGTTACAGAGAGAGAGAGTCTTTCATCTGCTGGTTCACTCCCCACATGGCCGCAGCGGCTTGAGCTGGGCTGATCTGAAGCCAGGAGCCAGAAGCTTCCTCTGAGTCTCCCACGAGGGCGCAGGGGCCCAAGGACTTGGGCCATCCTTTATTGCTTTCTCAAGCGACAGCTGAGAGCTGGATCAGAAGTGGAGCAGCCAAAACTCAAGCCAGTACCCACATGGGATGCCAGCACTGCAGACTGGCGCTTTAACCCACTGAGCCACAGTGCTGGCATCCAGAATATTCAATTTTTAAAAAGAAAAAAAAAAATGAAGAACTTACACGATCTAACCTCAGAACTTAATAGAATGCTAAAAAAAAATCAATATAGTATAGCTGACATCAAGACTGAAAAACAGATCAACAAAACAGAATAGCCAGAAACAGACCCACATTTATCTACATTTATCTAGTCACTTTTTTTTTTTTTTTTGACAGGCAGAGTTAGACACTGAGAGAGAGAGAGAGACAGAGAGAAAGGTCTTCCTTCTGTTGGTTCACTCCCCTAAATGGCCGCCACGGCCGGCGCTGCACCAATGGAAGCCAGGAGCCAGGTGCCTCCTCCAGGTCTCCCATGCGGGTGCAGGGCCCAAGCACTTGGGCCATCCTCCACTGCACTCCTGGGCCACAGCAGAGAGCGGGACTGGAAGAGGAGCATCTGGGACTAGTACCCGGCACCCCAACCGGGACTAGAACCCGGGGTGCCAGCGCTGCAGGCAGAGAATTAGCCAAGTGAGCCACAGCGCTGGCTAAGTCATTTGATTTTTTAACAAAGGCAACAAATATGAGCTAAGTAAAATTTTTTCCCCTAACTTATTTAATTTTACTTACTTGAAAGTAAAGACACATAAAGACACAGACAGGGAGAAATTCCATTTGTTGGTTCACTCTCCAAATACCTACAACAGCTAGGGGTGGGCCAGTCTGAAGCCAGGAACCCAGAACTCAATTTGGGTCTCCCACATAAGTGGGCAAGTACTCAAGTACTTGGGCCATTACCTGCTATCTACCAGGTTGGAAGGTGAACTGGAAGATGAACTGGAAGTGCAGGCAAGACTCAACCAAGCCACTCCAATATGGGATGCAGGTATCCCAAGTGGGTTATTAACCACTGTGCCAAATGCCCACCTCATTTGTTCATTCTTTAGACATAGTGCTAGGATAACTAAGTGGTCATAATGGAGAAAGAAAATGAACCCTGCTCTCTAATTCAAATTATACACTAAAAGGAATTTAAGATGTATTATACACAAATGTAAAGGCTAAAACCATGACGCTATTATAAGAAAATACTGGTGGATTCATTTATAACTTGAGGTAGGTAAGATCTTGGGTTCTTAAAACAAGAAATGCAATAACTATAAGATCCAAAACATTGATAAATTAGACATCATCAAAATTAATAATTTCTGCTCAATAAGACACCGTTACAAAATGAAAAGGAAGGTCAGAAACTGGGAGAAAATATTTGTGAAACATATTTGGCAAGGGACTTTTTGATGTATGCCAAACAACTCAATTAGAAAATAGTCAAGTTACATGAACAGATTATTTTACAAAAGAAGATACCCAAATGGCTAAAGCTTATCAAGAAAATGCTCACTAAAACTACACAGATACTACTACATACAAACTAGAATGAGAAAAACCAAAAAATAAGACTAACATCAAATGATAAGATATCTTGATAGGAGTTTGGATTACACAGATGTTGGAATTTGTCAAAATTCAGCTATTGTACTCTTAAAATTTAACTGCATGTTGGCCAGTGCTGCGGCTCACTAGGCTAATCCTCCGCCTTGCAGCGCCGGCACAGCGGGTTCTAGTCCCTGTTGGGGTGCCGGATTCTGTCCCGGTTGCCCCTCTTCCAGGCCAGCTCTCTGCTATGGCCCGGGACTGCAGTTGAGGATGGCCAGAGTACTTGGGCCCTGCACCCACATGGGAGACCAGGATAAGTACCTGGCTCCTGCCATCGGATCAGCGCGGTGCGCCAGCTGTGGCGGCCATTGGAGGGTGAACCAACGGCAAAGGAAGACCTTTCTCTCTCTCTCTCTCTCACTGTCCACTCTGCCTGTCAAAAACAAACAAACAAACAAAACAAACAAAAACAAACAAACAAAACAAAAAACAAAAAAAACTGCATGTGAATTTTACCTCAAAAGAAAAAAATATAAAAATTATTTAATTGTCAATCATATGCATGCTGAGGTCTTTATTGGGAAGTGCGTTGATGTCTGAAATTTTCACACATAGACTGAGACATAAACAGATGGATAAATGTGAAAAAGCAGGTGTGCTAATGTTAATGATTAATGATAATGAGAATGATAAATGATGATGAAACCAAGGTGTGGGTATAGAGGAATTCACTGCAAATTTTCTAACTTTTCTGTATATTTTATTTTAATAATAAAATACTTGGGGAAAAACAGGAAGCACTGTTTTGATGTTGATAGACTATTATGCTTTTTCTAGTTTTCTCTAATGTGCTGTAATTATAATTTTAAAGACTTTTAGAAGAAAGCAAATCAATTATTTGTTAAAATAACCAAATAATTTCAAAATAAGTTAAAAATCTTATTTAGCATCAGTGAAAATGAAAATATACACTATTTTAATATCTCATATAAATCAGCAAAGAACTTCTGGTTATATAACAAGTCACTGTTTCTGAACTAGTTAAAGTTTTTAAAATAAATGTGCTATTAAATAGTGTTTTCTTTCTTTTAGTGACTTACATTAAGCTCCCCTTATACTTGAAAACCTCCTATCAGTCTGTGTAAATATAAGCTCCTTAAGAATGCATCATTTCTTAAGACTGCAATAACTCATCAGGCTGATAAATTCTTAGGAAACCTGAGTTGGCTGTTTACTTTCTAAAGGGCTTTATCTTTCGAAAAGCACAAGCATTATGCCAGGTGCTAGTCAATTGTGTCTTGTTAATTTCCAAAACAAACAGAAGAGAGTGCCATGCAATTTCCATTACACACACTTCCCCCATTAGAAGCGGGTTTATTAGCTTGACACTGCTCCAGGAATAATGGCTTCAATCCTCACTGAAATAAAATAATGTGCCACATAACTCAGCAATGCGGAACTTCTGAAAAATGTTGTCATGTTAAACACGGTCATATTTTTCAGTTTCCCTTATGCCAAAACAGGCCATTTGCTGTCGAGAACTCATTCTGGGCGTAGAGCCTTCTCCCGTGGGCTGACTTACCTCATTGCTATGTCATATGATTCCGGATGAATACAAGTTTGGTCCAACGGGTTTGGTTTCAGTACAACACTGACTGTACTTTTACTCTTCTTTTTGCCCTGCTTCTCATTTGTGACCTCAACACCTGCTGAAGATGTCACAGCAAGTCCTTGAATTTGGCTTGAAGATTCAGTCTGCTGACTGCTGTAGCAATTTAAAACCAGAAAGAAACCCATAAATTTACACCAAAAAGGGAGGGGCAGGAGGATGTTAGAGGAAAAAGAGGAGTCCTTTAATTTAAAACATGCTCATTTCTCTGCCTTACAAATATATACAAACAGCAACTCTTCACTTCACAGAGATTATCATTTACTTGTATGAACCACTGTTAACAGGGCTTTGTGTTACTTAAATCCAAAAACATTTTTAAATGATTCAGTCTGTGTAATTTGCCAGTTATTCTAGGAGCAAACAGAAAACTGGAGGGAAACAAAATGATGACATTTCTCAGAGCTGAAGAAAAATACAAGTCCTCAAAAGAACCTACTGAGTCAGAACAGGACGAACGAGAAAAGATTCATGTTTGACATATCATGGGGAAGCTTTAAAATATAAATATTCTTTTAAATCCCAAAACGCTTTCAAGAGAGTAAAATTAAATCATTTGCTTCAAAAGGGCCTAGAATCAGACTGGCATCAGATTTCTCATTGGCAAACATCAGATGTCAGAACACGGTGGAGCTGTATCTTAAAAGTTCAGAGATAAAATGATTTTGAATCTACAATTATATACCCAGAAAAACTAGTATTCCAACAGGAAGCTGAATTAAAATGATTATACAGCCTCTCTAAAAAGAGTTTCTTTTTTTTTTTTTTATTTGACAGGTAGAGTTATAGACAGTGAGAGAGACAGAGAGAAAGGTCTTCCTTCCGTTGGTTCACTCCCCAAATGGCTACTACGGCCGGCGCTGCGCTGATGGAAGCCAGGAGCCAGGTGCCTCCTCCCGGTCTCCCATGCGGGTGCAGGGACACAAGCACGTGGGCCATCCTCCGCTGCCCTTCCTGGGCCACAGCAGAGAGCTGGACTGGAAGAGAAGCAACCGGGACTAGTACCTGGCGCCCCAACCGGAACTAGAACCCCGTGTGCCAGTGCCGCAGGCGGAGGATTAGCCAAGTGAGCCATGGTGCCGGCCCTAAAAAGAGTTTCTTAAGGATAAACTCCAGCAAAAACAATGAATTCCAGAAAAACGATAATATGAACTATAAGAAATAGTGATGAGCACAGAAACCATAAAAACTTACATTAAAAAACTGCTCATGAATAATATAAAGTATCAAATATTATGCCACAGAAAGAATGAAAACAAAAAATAAACCAAGTGTTTTCTGAAAACACAACATTACTAGGACAGAAAATAATTTTCAAGGTAACTTTAAAAGTATAACTATCAAGGAAGGATAATCATGATATCAAGGATAGCTTGGATATATAATCAAGGACAGTTATGAATCTTCCAGTAATTATCAGTTGAAAAAATAAGATATTGATCAAATTATGGTCCATCCACATTATTGAATACTATGCAGACATACAGAATAAACAAATAAAGCAGGTTTCAAATAGTTGTATAGAATGATCTCTTCTGTATATATGTTAAGAATAAACACATACACAAGGTGATATAAGCATAAATTTACTTTCGAGAAGCAATATATAAGAAATTATTTTGAAAGGGGAGACTGAGACACATTTTACTTTTCCTTTTGTTCTTTATACTTTTTAAATTTTTAAAGAAAGTATTCAGAAAACATACAGACTAACAAATAGAGGATTACCTTATCCTCAACGTTTTCATTTTTGGCTTTTGAGTTTTGTGACCTAATTACAAAGATTTCCTACTATTCCAATGTTTTGTGAACTTTGTCCATGTTTTCTTCCAGCACTTTTCTAAGAATTTATTTTTATTTACTTGAAAGGCAAAGTTACACAGAGGGACAAACAGACACACACACACAGAGATAGATGAGAGAGAGGAGAGAAGAGAGAGAGAGAGAGAGAGAGAGAGAGAGAGAGAGAGATATCTTCCATCTGTTGGTTTACTTCCCAATGTCCAAAACGACTGGGGTTGTGCCAGGCCAAAGCCAGGAGCCTGGAGCTTCATCTGGGTCTCCCACATGGGTGCATGGGCCCAAGCACTTGGGCCATTTTTCATTGCTTTCCCAGGCGCATTACTAGGGAGCTGGATGGGAAGTGGAGTAGCCAGGTCTTAAACAGGTGACCATATGGGATATCGGTGTTGCAAGCAGTGGCTTAACTCACTACACTATGTTGTTAGCCCCTTTTCTGGTACTTTCACAGTTCCACTTTTTAGATTTAAGTCTATGCTCCATCTGGAATTTATCCTGGTAAAAGATGGGACTACAGCTTCCTCCACACATATCAAATTCATGCCAGTTGTCATAATACCATTTATTAGCTATCCATCAAATTTTCCTCAACTATTTGAAACATCACCTTTATCATAAACTAAATTCTAACTATGTTTCAGTGAATGTCAGACTCCAGTCTATTCTATTTCAGCATTAAACCAAACTATCTATTATTGCTTTATAATATATTCTATTGTCCTGTGGCGTTGGTTTTCCCTTGGTCTTTCCTTGAATAATATTTATTTTTCTATATGGCCTGTATTATAATCTTGCCAAAAGAAAAATTCATTTGAATGGAACAGATAGTTCTAAAGTAGCAGATATATAAAAGCTGTTCTCTTGTGACTAAGTACTGAGAAGTTTATCCAGTTTTTTTGCTTTTGGGGCACCATCATTAGAAAGTAAAACCCTAGCTCTTAATCTACACAGTTGATAATTACTGATTTGGTCAATTTTTGGTGAGAAGAGAGTAAGGAAGCCCTTGCATCCTTAAGGAACAGCCATCTCAGTGTGAGGTGGTCACTGTGAAGTCTTGAAGTCTCCTTTGTCACCTCATCTTGTATCTGTTCTTTCTACTTGCTATGCTCCAATCCTGTGGACCTTACTTTGTTTCCTAGTCCTGCCTCAGGCCTTTGCACACCTAATGATGGTTTTGCCGGGTATACTTGACTTCTGATCCCTGTGTGGCTGACTCTTTTGATCCATTAATAATTGCTCAAATAACTTTTCAATACAACTGCTCTCCAAGACAGTGTCAGAGCTCCCTGTTTGAATTTCTGTAACACTTATTGCATCATAAGAAACCATATACGTGACTAGTTTGTTTATTATCTGTCACTCATGAAAAACAGAGTTTCCTGACTTGCTTACTATTGTCTGTACCTAGTAAAGCACACTTGACACATATTGAATGAAGGTGTGAATGGTGGACACCTAGAAACAGTAGGCTGGTGATAACGCTAAGAAAGGAAGCTGGTAACAGGACCAGAAGTATACACTTTAATAATCACCTGCAAAATGTTCGAATGTAATCCTGGTTGATTCTGATGAAGCCAGCACACTGTTGGAAGGATTTTGGACCCAGCCCTTTCACTTTCTTCAGCTGTTCTCGGTTGATGAAGGGTCCATTTTGTTCTCGCCATTCAATAATATTTTTGGCTCTGTTGGCATTGAGTCCTGCAATATGCCTTTAAAAATAATAAAATGAGTAAACTGAGAAAATGCAGATTTCATTTGAAAAGAGTGATACAAACATGTGGACCATAAAAACAACTGCAACTACATTCTTTCATATTCTAAGTTAATCCAAAAGAGAGTTAAATAAAAAGGTCAAAGAGGAAAAAGTTGTCCAAGAGGAGAGGGCAACAGAAACAAAATAATGTCAAAACCAGTAACTGTCATAAATATTTCCACAATATTTCTAAACTAGTCATATTCTTTGTGTTTCTGAATCAAGAAATAATTCTGCCTATTTCTGTTTAGCTTTGCAAAGAGAGTTAGCAACCTAAGTTATAACAGCCATAAGTGTGTTGTACTACTTTTATTTTTTGTTGGTCTGTTCTCATGAATGCAGAGTTGAAGCTCAGAAAGGTACTTACCCCTAAATGCCACAATAAGTACAAAAAACTAAAACTATACCTTTAGGGAATTTTCTTAGTATTAAATAATCCATTATGTCCCATCATCTTATACGTAGGACACTTATACAATATTAAAATGAGCAATAAATATACTACTTGTGCTAACTTTGAAATAAATATCATTGAAATATTTGCAGAATTGAAAACTTGGGACTTGATAGGTAAAAATATTATTATTTACAAGAATCTTAATTCCATTATGTAATGCATATAAACAATATGAAATGTCTCTAGCTATGGTGGAAAAGTAACATCTGAAGACATAATACATTCTGCTTTACTAGTTCCAATGAAAAAGGTGCAGCTCAGGGAATTTCATGCTGTATCAGCAAACTTGTATAAGAAATGCAAAGCCATGAACAAAAAAAGCAACTCTTCTATAACCGTGGGAGTGGGGGCGGCAGCAGAGAGAATATAAGATACAACTGTATGATGGAAATTTTGACAGGTGACTTATGAAATCGGGGTAAAAAATATGGTAACCATACCTTGGAACCATCACAATTTATCTTTTGGTTACTGCCAATTTTGACAGATGCATGCAAGAGACTGAACCAGGAAAAACGTCTACTCTCATGTGGTGGGAAACAGCTCTTTTCCATGTTAACCTTATTTAAATTCTATTAGCAACACTAATGCACTCAATGGTTACCATATGTTCTTCACTTTAGATTTGCAATATTAAAAATGATAATGTGAATTGTTACAATTCTTTTCTTAAATGATGTCTTCCCTCCTGACTGATTACCCAAAGCAATGTATAAACTCTTAGCTTTTCTATACTTGGCAGCTCTGCACACATGTGTCCCCTTATAACAGCTGAGTTTGGACTGGAGGGCCAGTTAAATTTGAGATTCTGTGATCTTCAGCCACAGACTTCTTGTCTCACCTTAACAAAACTTCTGAACAGATGTTAATATCCACTCCCACAAAGCTGACACATTCTTCTACAACACTGTCCAGTGTTGCCTTGAGTAAAGTCTGGGATACATCATGCTGAGAAGACAAAGATCAAATATCAATCAACGGTGAAGGAGATGCAGTGCATGGACTATGCCATTACTTTGTCTATAAATGCTGGTAGTTGGCTAACATACACCATGGTAAATTTCTTCATCCTCTTGAACACTGTTAGCAGATGTCATTGAGATGAACTTCAGTAATCTTGTTTTCTTACTTTATAAGATACTTAGACCCTTGACTTGAATATAACAACGTCTACATTTTCCCCTTCTTCAACATTCTGCTAATGCAGTGGTTCTCAAACTTTAGGTTGCATCAAGTCATCCATAGACCTTGTCAAACCTCAGGCTGGTAGGCCTCAGATTCAGATGTTTGATTCAGTGTTGCGCACTCTAGTAAGTTACCAGGTAATGTGGCTAGCAGACTGCTTTAAGGCATATGGGTCTCTTTTATTCATGTCCTGCATTACTATGTTAGCTTAACTTGCATACATGTTCTATTCCATAGTTAAGAAAACAAAGGAGGCCGGCGCCGTGGCTCACTAGGCTAATCCTCCACCTAGTGGCGCTGGCACACCGGGTTCTAGTCCTGGTCGGGGTGCCGGATCCTGTCCCGGTTGCCCCTCTTCCAGGCCAGCTCTCTGCTGTGGCTCAGGAGTGCAGTGGAGTATGGCCCAAGTGCTTGGGCCCTGCACCCCATGGGAGACCAGGAGAAGCACCTGGCTCCTGCCTTTGGATAGGCGCGGTGCGCCCGCCGCAGTGCGCTGGCCGCGGCGGCCATTGGAGGGTGAACCAACGGCAAAAGGAAGGCCTTTCTCTCTGTCTCTCTCTCACTATCCACTCTGCCTTCAAAAAAAAAAAAAAGAAAAGAAAACAAAGGGGCCGGCATTGCGCAGCAGCAGCAGATTAAGCTGCCATCTGCAATACTGGCATTCCTTATCAGAGTGTGCAGAGGGAGATGGCCCAAGTCCATGCATACCTGCCACCCATGTAGGAGACCTGGATAGAATTCCTGGCTCCTAGTCCCTACCGTTGTAGCCATTTGAGGAATAAAACAACAGATGGAAAATCTTTTTCTTTTTGTCTTTCCCTCTCTCTGTATCACACTGCCATTCAATAAATAAATCTTTAAAAAAGAGAAGAAAGCCAGTGTTGTGTCGTAGCAGGTAGAGCTACCACCGGCAATGCTGGCATGCCATATGGACACCAATTCATGTCCTGGTTGCTCCACTTCCAATCCAGTTTCCTCTTGATGGCCTGGGAAAAGCAATGGAAGATGGCCCAAGTATTTGGGCCTCTGCTACCCATGTGGGAAACCCAGATGACGCTCCTGGCTCCTGCCTTTGGCCTGGCCCAGCTCTGGCTATTACAGCCACCTGAAGATTAAACTAGCAGATGTGAGATCTCTATCTCTCCCTCTCTGTGTAACTCTGAATTTCAAATAAATAAATAAATAAATCTTAAAAAAAAAAGAAGGAAAACATTGTCATACCAGGAAGTAGTACATTAATACTAAGTTGGACAGTGAATCAAAATATTTTCCCAAATTGGATAGTATTATTTATAGGAATAATATTACTTTATTTACAATTAAGAAAATACACTGTCAATGAAACCCTGACATGTGGCATATTATTGCTTATAATTTTTTTTTTTTTTAATAGGCAGAGTGGACAGTGAGAGAGAGAGACAGAGAGAAAGGTCTTCCTTTGCCATTGGTTCACCCTCCAATGGCTGCCGCGACTGGTGCACAGCGGCCGGTGCACCACACTGATCCAAAGCCAGAAACCAGGAACCAGGTGCTTCTCCTGGTCTCCCATGTGGGTGCAGGGCCCAAGCACTTGGGCCATCCTCCACTGCAGTCCCGGGCCACAGCAGAGAGCTGGCCTGGAAGAGGGGCAACCGGGACAGAATCCAGCGCCCCGACTGGGACTAGAACCCGGTATGCCAGCACCGCAGGCAGAGGATTAGGCTATTGAGCCGTGGCACCGGCCTAGAATTTATTTTTAAAAAATAAATATGATTTAAAAATAAATATGATTTTTTAAAAATCATGTAATAAAAATGAAAATATAAGCAATTGAAGCCGGTTAAAATATTCCTAAAATTTGTTCACATTTAGTGTGTATCCGTTCTGAATCACTCAGAGTCATAGGTGTCAAGGCTTCTGTGCTGTTAAGACCTTGGGCAGCGTAGTGCTTCTTAAAGGAGCTACTCTCTATTGCCTCCTGGATTTTCTCTGAAGCTTCAGAAGGTCATTCTTGGACACTGTGATGGTAGTAGCCTAATCTTAATCTTTCAATAGAAGAGATTCTGGGCAGCAACACAACTCACATTTCCTTCCCCAAAGGTCTTTAAATGGTCTATTATTTGATGGTTCATTAACTAAAACAATGAGGGATTTGCAGTTTAGTAATGCCTACAAATTAACAACTGATCTCATGTAGAACTACACCATGATGTAGCACAGGGCCAACAACAACTGTAGGAAATCATGAATGGTCAGATACATCATGAATGTTAAAATGTGAGAAAATGTGCATCTTATATTTGATGACTGGTCCTATTTGTAAGGAAACATTTGCTGTTTGATGAAGCCAGGTTGCCATAATGAACACACTTGATGGTATTCGTAATTCTAAAGTTAATAAACTCTAGTCATTTTTCATAGTTAGGAAACTTCCATCTATTATATCTTCCATCTATTGGTTTATTCCCCAAATGGCCACAACAGCCAGGTATGGACCAGGCTGAAGTCAGGAGCCCAAGTTGGCCATCTTCTGCTGCCTTCCCAGGTGCAATGGCAGGACACTGGATTAGAAGCAAAGTAGAAGGTTCTCAAACAGGCGCTCTGATAGGGGGTGCTGATATCACAAGCGGCAGCTTATTAGCCTGTGCAACAATGCCCTTCTCCTCTTTATTTTAAAGAGTTGTTATTTAGTCACATTTTAAATAGTAAAGATAATTATAAAATTTTAAAATAAATGATTTAAAAATAGTACAAACATGTAAAACTTAATAAAAATGACAGACTCCTGATGTATTTTGTTGGTAATGATAGTCTGGTTGTTGACAGCTTAAAACCTTCAAAATTAAAAAGCAAACAGAAACACTTGGGACACTTCCACTAGAGTGGCTAAAATAGAAAAAGATGCAAAACACCATATATTGGTTAAGAGATGGAGCAACTACAATGCTGAAAACATTATCCTAAGTACATTTTAAGGCAGATAAACAAGACAAGGAAGTTTTATGGAGGATATATTTTGTATAGTTTCAATATAACTACCTAAAATGGAAGCAGATATATTTAAATAATGCTAAGATGCATTATTGTTCAATATAAATTAAATTAGATAAATTTTACAGGAATAAAATATTAACTAATTGTCAAACTGACTTAAGAAGAAGTAGAAAAACTGAACAGACCTGTTAATAAATAGAGATTCAATTAGTAATCAGAAAGCCTCCCAACAAAGAAAAGTTTAGGAACAGAGAGCTTCACTGGTGAATTTATTAAACATTTCAAGAATTAACAAAAATCTTGACACCAAAGACAGATAAAAACATCATAAGAAAACTATAGATCAATACCCTTATGAATATAGATACAAAAATCCTCAACAAAATACTACCATGCTAACTCCAAGAGCATATTAAAAGGATTACACACCATGACATACATGTGGTGCATGTAATATGTGTGAACTCAAGAACCAGATTTGTATTTCTTTTTAGTTGGGAAATTCTTCTTGACATTTTTAAACTTTTAATTTTGAAATAATTTCAAATTTAGTAAAAAATCAAGAGTAGTACAAAGAATTTCCTTATAGCCTCCCTTCAAATAAATACTTGTATATATTTCCAAATAACAAGAACACTGTTTTTTATATCCATAATTATTAAAATTAGGAAATTTACCAGTTTAATAATATTATCAAAACCTACAGCCTACACATTAATTAATGTGCCAATTACACATTTTACAGAATTTCCTGCCCAACCTAGAATTCAATCCAGGATCATATATTGCATTTAGTTGTATCTTTTCATACTCTTGGCTAGGCATCTTCCAAGATGGTTCCCAAAGAACCCCCAATTCTGGTATTCATGTACTTGTGTAATTCCCTTCCATTGAGTATAGAATTCAATGATAGATTTATTATTAAGGTTATTTTAACAGTCATAATGACCTATTTGTATAGAAAAATATTTTCAATCTGCATTCAATTAAAATGTAAAAGCACAGGCTTAACAGTGTACCATATGGAGGCACTTCAAAAAGTTAATGGAAATGGAAAAAAAATTATTTTAGTACAATTTTTGAAGTCCATGCACATTCTTCTCATAAAAAGCATTTTCCATAAACTTTTTGAAGACCTTCACATACACTCATATCATTATCCTCATGTTCTGGATTGGAAAAAAAAAGCCCTGAAAAAGAGACTATATCTATACATTAACACTTCTCTAATTTCTGTATTTGGGTATTAAAAACATTTAAATACAAATAAAAAAAGCATTTAACCTTATCATGGGTAGCAAAAGTAAGTATTATTTTGAGATGCTTCTATTTTAAATATTTAGCTGTAAAGACAGATATATATATATATCATATATATATATATATAGTCAAATATATGTGTGATGGGTGCTCTGGTCATGATGTAATATGCAGTGCACTTCAAGATCAAAAGGAATGAAAAACAATGGTCTGAGCCAATCATGGTGGTGCCATTCCATTTATTCAATTATGGCAAATAAATGTGAGTATAAATTTGCTGAGTGCTTCAGAAAAAGACTTCACTGCTCTTAAATAGAAACCCTAATAAAGAGCTGGCCCTTTCTTCTCTTTTTTTTTTTTTTTTTTTTTTTTGACAGGCAGAGTGGACAGTGAGAGAGAGAGACAGAGAGAAAGGTCTTCTTTTGCCGTTGGTTCACCCTCCAATGGCCACTGCGGCCGGCGCGCTGCGGCCGGCGCGCTGCGGCCGGCGCACCGCGCTGATCCGATGGCAGGAGCCAGGAGCCAGGTGC